GAGCACAATCCTAAATGAAGTTAAGCTGCAAAGTAGTGAAATACCACTAATGCAGTGTACATAAGTACATGAATGGGTTGCATAATCTGTACAGTTTGCAGAATTTTCTCTTGCTTTTAACCATTCTCATTTTGAACCTTTTGGTGCATTTGGAATAAGGTATTAAAAAATTTCTAAATACTTATCTAATTGTTCATTACAATGTTCTTTTAACTTTATTATTTTATTTGCAGATTTTTAATGATTCATCCGGAATGGAAGGTCCACACATGGAAGACATTAGAACCAAATGAGGTAGTTTATTTTATTTTAAGTGTTAGTAAATTGTAAAAATTTGACTATAATTTAGTAGTACATGTAGGATAATGTAATATTTGGATTAAATATATATAGTTTTATTTACAAATAATGTATTAAATATTATTACACAACTTAATGTCTGAAACGAATTTCATTTTGTTTGTTCAATTGAATATGTTCATTATAAGGGTATATTGATTATAAATTGATTAGATGAGATTATAATACAGAAAAAATGATTATAAATTGATTGAATGTTAAATGTAAATATATAATTTTATTTTTTCTTTAAAAAATGATTTTCCGACAGGTTTTGGAAAACCCTGGTAATTACCGACAGTTTTAGAAAACTCCTGGTAATTATAGGCGATTTTCCAGAAACCTCCTGGAAATAGAGGTGGTTTTGCAGAAAACCACCAATAATTTTGTAATGCTGGTTTTTCTAATGATTTTCAAAACTGTGAGAAACGTATTTTTCGTGTATTAAAATTTCTAGTAATGTAAAAATAACTCCTCCTAAAATTACATAAGTGTCTCCGGTCAAATTTCAAGCATATTTATAAAAGAGTGAATCTAGAATTTTCTGAGCAGTCGTTGCTATTTTTCAGGTTATTTTTCTTATTGAAACCTATTTTTAATTATTTTGAAGGCTTTCTATTAAAAGTATAAAAAGTAAAAAAGAAATTCAATTAAGTTTTTTATAATTATATGACTATTTGGTATTAAATTTATCATTTTTTAAGGAAAGAAATATTAAAATAAAAACGGAAGAATATTGCTAGTTTGAGAAAAAAAAATCATATTCATTTCCTAATAAAGTATTTTAATTCTTTATTCTTATCCGAAATCATATTCCAAAGTACAAAATATCTAATTTAAAACTTTTTCTTTTTCAAAATGACATCTTAGTTATATATTAATATTTTAAATTCGATTAATTATTTTCCATAAAAACAATTTTTCTTTTCAATATTGACATATTTCATTAAAACCTTTGCATGTCCAACTTTTTCCAAAAACTAACATATTGGTTACACAATAGCAAAAGTTTGAATGTGAAAATTCTAACAAATAAACTTCGAATTTGTGGAGTCCTGGGAAAAACTAATTCTCCCTTCTGACCCTAAAATATTTAAAATAAGAGATTGAAATTTTTTCTCGATTCATAACATACATTTTATTTATTTGAATACAATACTTTAAACGGCAAAATATATAAGTCTATGCCAATACATCACACACATCATACATTATATACACACATAATACAATATATATATATATATATATATATATATATAATTAAAATAATTCTAAAATTAGAGAATGCCACACATTGATATAAGTTGTCGAAGTATATGTGGTCTTGTATTTGCTAACTCATGATTATATCTGAGTTTTTGAATTTCTTCATTGAATAAAGTTTGTGCTGACTTCAATTTTTCTTCAATCTTAAGTCTTTCAACTCTTTCTTCTTCCAACTTTTCTAAAAGATTTGCAGTTTCTTGTTTCAAATTTGATCCTACCTATATTTCAAGATAAAATTATATCTTAAAAAAACAATAATTAAGAAATATTCAATATTTATACTCATATTCTCTACACATGCAAATACTAAAATATGTATATTAATTTTTTTTTTGTCGTAGAAGTACATTCATTTATGAAGTTATGACACCATATGATATAATATTAAAAAGATACCCAAACTTAAGAATGACAAAATCAATTCACACAATTGAGTTGGTCCATTTAACATGATAAACTAGATAAAATGACTTAATTTTTTTTTTCAAAAGTACAATGAAGTCTAACAAAGTATTTAACATATAAAGATAACATTTTCCATATTAATCTTGTTTTAGCTCATCATATACTTTCATTCCCATCTACATTTTATAGTTTCTACTTTTAAGAAAAATCATTCTTTTATGGATTCAATTTTTTTAAAATTTAAGAAATATTTGTAAAATTCATAAATATTTTACCTGTGATCTCACAAATGTCTTGTTTGTATATGGTTGTCCATTATTCTTTGATATGACCATGTTCACAAGATTAAGAAGTTGCTGAACTTGTTGTAATTGCTTATTTTCATCTTTAGTCTTATTATCAAAAAGCACTTTGCGATTGTCACATTGGAGTAAAATATCCTACAAAAATATTAAAACTCTATCAAAATCATCAAATTTCTAAAGTCCTATATAGTCTAAGAAATTAACACAATAATATTAACTGAAAAAGTAATAATTAAACACATAACTGAACAATATGTCTATAATAAAATAATTCTTAAATTTATTTAAATATAATATGTTTACACCAAATATAAGTCAAAGAATATTTTTTTTAATTTGCATTTATTTTTATCATATATAAGTCAAAGAGTTTCTTAATTAGTGTCCACATAATAACATGTATTTATTTTTTTAATTTTGATTTAAGAATTATAAGAGCAATACATATATATTAATTTAAAAGATAATATGATACAATACCTTAAGAGGTTGAGGACATTCTTGACCTAAATAATCATCTAGTGTCTCTTCATTATATTCAAGTTCATCTCCTCCAGTGAAAACTAGAATCATATAGTCAATAATTTTATGTCCAAACAAAGTTTGCACAATACGTAAAGTAGCTTCTTCTTCTTCAGAAAAACGAGTTCTAACAGAAAACACCACAAGAATTGCATGAATTCCATTTTTGGCAACGTCAATACATTCAATTATTTCCTTTTCAACATAATCTCTTCCATCAAAAAGTCCTACAAAACATAATTTTTGGATTTTAAAATGATTTTCTTATATTTATGCACATAGTACTTATGATTCTCATGTAAGAAGAAAACACTATAATTTTTAATGACACAAAGACTTCAACTAAAAGAAAAACCAACATAATTAAAAAAAAATCATCATACTTTTGAAAGACATCAAAATAAAAATTAATATACATGCGTGTGGACATGAATCGCATTATTATTTATAACAAGTTCAAAACAAAAATCAATATAAGAGATATTTTATTTTTCAAAAGATAAAAAAGTTTATGAAAAGAAAATTAAGGAGTTAATAACATCAACCGTTTATTTTTGGCATCCCAAATTAATTTAAGCCTTAAAACAAATTTGTATGTAGATTGAAGAAAAATTATAGTAGCAGTCTTTCGAGTATGTTTACTGTGATATTGGGTAAGTTTCATTTTTAAGTTGTTTTACATGGAAGTGAGACTTATCAAAATATGTAATTTTTAACAAAATTTAGCTAATAATAAGAAAGAGAACGGTGTTATTCTTTAATCTTCAAATAATCAAGGTAACTAAATTTATTTTAATTTAAATGAAATAGAATTGAAGTTAGCACATATTACCTGGAGTATTGATAACATTAATAACTGAACCATCTTTTGTAACACTTTTCTGTAATTCACAACTACGTGATTCATTAGAAGAACACATTCTTAGTTTGAAGGCATTTCTTCCAAGAATGCTATTTCCAGTTGCACTTTTACCATTTCCAGTTCGTCCAACTAAAACTAATGTCTTCTCTTTATTAAATAAGGTAATTTGTTCCATCGTATCAAATTCAGGTTACAACTGCAAGTTAAAAAATAAATTAAGTAAAATAATAACACAACGAACATACATTTATGATGATTAAAAGTGTGTTAAAAACAATTGAGAAAAATGTTTTGAAGCATAAAATGTTGCGTGTATGAGTGTTTCTGACCTAATAATTTGAGAAAACCTGGTTTGAATTATCAAGATTTCATAATCATTTTATAGGTGTTCAAGTAAGAAACTAAAGCATATTGAAAGATATAACTAAAGTGTGGTTGAAAGTAACAAGATAATAATATACCTGTTTAAAAGTAACAAGATAATAATATACCTGTTTAAAAGTAACAAGATAATAATATACCTGTTTAAAAGTAACAAGATAATAATATATCTATTATGAAATGTAGGAAAGGAAATCAATAGTGTAGTGATCATTGTGAATTTCAATAAAAAGAGAGACATCAGAAAATATAAAAATATATGAAAGAAAGAAAGTCTAAGCTTGAAAAGTTTCCAAGTTAGATTCACAAAATAATTTCCATAAACGATCTTAATAATTTCAAATAAATATTCCATTTCCAAAAATACTTCTTTAGCAATTGAATAGCTTCCATATTTTAGGTTTTGGAACCACTGATTTACCCGATTTATATTCCTGCGTTGCAATGATTTAATTATGTTTGTAACTAATTTTTATTTTTAATTGAGCATATAAATAAAATTAAGATATTATATATATATATATATATATATATA